AAGTGGACTCAACTTGCACTATTTCTGGCAGTCTGCAAAGGCCCCAAGGTACAAAACACACTGCAGAAATAATCCATCTTGAGACTGCTTTAACTGCCCTGAGTCAATGCTAGGGAATTCTGGGAACTGTAGTTTTGTGAGACATTTAGCCTTCTCTGTCAGGGAGCTCTGGTGCCACAACAAACTACAGTTCCCAAAATGCCCTAGCATTGAGCCAGGGCTGTTAAAGCGGTCTCAAGCTGGATTATTTCTGCTGTCTGTTTTGGCCCTGGGAAGTCTAGTTTGCTGTGGCACCAGAGCACAAATAATCCGGTTTGACACAGCTTTAACAGCGATGGTTCCCTGTTATGGAATGCTGGGAACTGTAGTTTGATGTAGTTGGCACCAAAAAACCATCATTCCTAGAATCCCACAGCATGAAGCCAGCTAAAGCATTACCAACCCAGATTACTCCTACAGTGCGGATATACAGTCTCAAACTCCCCTCCATACAAGAAGCCCCAAAAGCCAGACTAGACTTCCGACTATTTCCCAGTAACAACGAACCTGGCTCAGTATAAGCAAGTCTGTGACCAGTTATTAGAGAGCTTTGTTGTTGTAGTTCAGGGAAGGGCACTCAAACCCTGTAGAAGAAAATTCAAAATTCCCTACCACACCACCAGTCCATTATTATACAGGATGGAAAGCTCTCTTATGCTGCATGCGCACTGCAGGAATAATCCGGTTTGACACCATTTTTACTGCCATGGCTCCCTGCTATGGAATGCTAGGAAATGTAGTTTGCTGTGGCACCAGAGCAGAAATAATCCAGCTGCTATAACTGCGGATGCAAATATTCCACCCCCACCCCTCATTAGTAATAGGCGCCTGAGGAGATGGTATTCAGAGGTATTCTGTTCTGGGAGAGTGCTGAGGATACCAAGGACAATCAAGAAGACAAACATTTGGGTCCTAGAACAGATCAAGACGGAATTCTCCCTGGAAGCCAAGATTACTAAATTGATGTTGGCGTATTTTGGCCACATCATGAGAAGGCAGGACTCACTAGAAAAGACAATGATGCTGGGAAGGTGGGGGGAAATAGAAAGAGAGGAAGACCACATGCCAGATGGATAGACTCAGGGGGGTTGCAGACTGCCAGAAATAGTGCAAATTGAGTCCACTTTTAGGGTTAGGGTTAGTGCTAGGGAATCATGGGAATTTTTTTTTCTGAGACATTGAGACTTCTATTTCAGAGAGCTCTGATGCCACAATAAAATACAGTTCCCATGATTCCCTAACCCTTAAAGTGGACTCAATTTGCACTATTTCTGGCAGTCTGCAACCCCCCTCAATCAGGGAGACCACTGGCTTGAGCCTACAGGACCCCTGCAGGGAGATAGAGGATAGCAGGGCTTGAAGAGGACACCGCCTCCTCTCCTTGAAGGAAGCTAACCACAACAACACTCTGCACTAGGGGTAGGCAACCTTTCCCCTTTAAGGGCCGAGGGACTTCAGCTCCCAGAATCCCAGGAGCTATAGGCCAACATGGGACTATTGGCCAACATGGCTGAGGCTTTTGGGAGCTGAAGTCCCTCGGCCCTTAAAGGGGAAAGGTTGCCTACCCCTGCTCTGCACCTTGCTCTGGTTGGTAGATTTTGAGACTTAAACAAACTTGATCTGACAGATGTGAAGTCTTCCCACCTTCCTACCAGAATTCCAAAGCATTGAGCCAAGTGGTGTCAAACTAGATTATTTCTCTAGTGTGGTTGCTCTCTGAACTGCACTGGAAAACGGTGCCATAAGGAGGTTCACTGGCAGGGCATCATTTTGGATATTCTCTGTTAAAGGTTCCAGGGTGTGTTAGTGTCTAAGGGTCTTGAGTTTTGCAGGTGCCAATAACGAAGGTTTCCTCTGCTTAAAGAGTTCTCTAGGAGTGCATCTACATTGTAGAAATAATGCAGTTTGACACCGCATTAACTGCCATGGCTCCATTCCTGCAGAATCCTGGGAATGGTAGTTATGTGAGGCAGCAGCACTCTCTGACAGAAAAGGCAAAAGACCTTGTGAAACTACACATTCCATGATTCCATAGGATGGAGGTACAGCACTTAAAGTGGTGCCAAACTGCATTATATCCACCTTTGAGACCGCTTTAACTGTCCTGCCTCAGTGCTAGGGAATTCTGGGAACTGTAGGTTTGTGAGACGTTTAACCTCTGTGAGAGAGTTCTGGTGCCACAACAATTCCCAGTATTCCCTAGCACTGGTCTCAAACTGGATTATTTTTGTAGTTTGTTTTGGACCAATGTAGATGCAGCCTAGGACAAGTTTTGGCATGGTTAATAAGAGTCGCTTGCAAGTGGAAGAAACGTGATTATTGAAGCTAGAAAATGCTGTATACTGGAATGCCCATAGGAGAGTGGGTAGACTTCATATTTGTCAGATCAAGCTTGTTTTATTTTCGTGAGAGTCCCACTATCTACCAACTAAAGCAAGGTGAAGAATAGGTAGACTTAAAAAACAGAATGCCTATGAACTATTTACTTAGTTCACAGTTGTTTCATACAGATGCTTACTCCTGATTACCCAAAGCTTCTTTCATTTGAACAATATGACCTCCGTGTGGGGAAGCCATTTGGTTATTGTTAAAAACAATTGGAATTTATCAATATACTGCAGGTTTCCCAGTAGATTCTCATATACCATCTGACCCACCTCTGCTCTACGGATTGTAGTGGATAGATTCATGCATGAGAGTGTGTATGCAATTACTCTGAAGGCTTTCTTCTTCCTATTAATTTTCTTTTGTGTTCACCTTGTAAGTAGAGCTACATCTAGTTAAAAGAAGTAATGGACTTCTTCTCTGTGTTTGTTCCTTTGGCAATAAATAGCTTACAGGTGTGGTACTTAAAACATCCAAATGATTTGCAGAGGTTGACTTAGTACTGTTTAGCTTGACTCATGAACAGCAGGAACAACCCGAGCCTTGGGTTATTGTGTGCGTTATTGGGCAACCTGACTATAGTAAAATATGTACACAGAAGATGATATTACAGTGATCCAAAACTGGGAGATAAAAATTAAAAGGTCAGTGTTCAGTGTAAACTGAAAGAGGAGTGGACATAAAGCAATCATTGTCTCCGCTTTCTAATATGAAAAATTCAAACATGATTTCTGAAGACAGCCAAATGACAGTAAAGACCTCCACAAATAGGGGTATGAGATGATATCTCATAATTGTATATGTGCGCACATAAGATGCAAAGGAATCGAGTTTGCTTCTCATTCCTCATTCCTGTGTTCTGCTTTGATGTGTGTGGCATACACCCTCACTCAACTGCAACCATAGCATGGCTCCCTCTGCTCTAGTACTGGCACTACTGCTGCTCCCACTGTGTCCTCTTACACCAGCCAGCTAGGTTTTGTTCAAACCACTGCCTGGTGAGCCTGGCAACTTTCTAACTCCCAAGTGTATGTGCATCTGTCTATGTCTGTGCATACACTGAAGGAGAGGATGAGAATTCCTGCTCCCTGATATATGTAGGAATGCAAAATGATTGGTGAATGGTGGTATATTTAAAAGAGAGCAAGAGAGAGAGAGAGAAGATGATTAGATGATGCAGTTGCCATGTTGCACAGTTGGCTGAGTTGTACTTCCATTGTGACCATGCCATTTGGTGTCTCTTTACTCCATTAGCAGGCCTAGATTCCCAGATTTTGCTGAAAAGGAGAATAAATGTGTATTACAATGGCTGTGTCATAAGGAATCCTGGGTTTTGTTGTTTGATGAGGTAGAGAGAGATTGAAGTTTAAATCAGATTAGTCTTTAACATTTATAGAAGTTGAGATATGAGTCAAGATTTGCAGTTATTATTGTGCCCAGTTGTATTGGGTTGAAGTTTGTACAGCCTTCCACTACATGCAAAGTAGCTAGAAAAACTCAGCCTGCTGTTTTTTACATGTAAAGTTTCTGTATGGGAAGTTGGTGGGATGAGTGTACACAGATCAATTGTTTCATGAACAGCTTATGATGTGCATAATGAGCAAATAATTTGCATAATACACAAATGTCTCTACCTGGATTTGGAGAATAGAACAT